TGGTAGAATGCCAGCCTTGAGTGAAAAAGCTAACGATGAGTGCCTGAGCTCTAGTTCAAGCCCTAGGACTGGCATATGTGCTTGTATGTGTGTGCACACATAGGAGCGTGTATACACACACACACACATATCAAATAGCTGAAGACACGCGCATAAAGGAAGGAGGGCTGTCAGTTGATTTACCTTGGGATTTCTAGGCTAGGGTTTTTAGTGGTGGTAGTTGTCTAGGGTAGTTCTTACACACCTGACACAGCCACACTGTTCAGGATATCTAAAAGTACCCTGTGACTGGCACAGAATGGGACTCTGGGAGGAGGGAAAGTTGAGTGAGTTAAAATATAAGAATCAGGCTAAAATTTGTCTGGTGCCAGGTGCTATCTGAAGCTCTAGTTTAACTCTTGAGTAGTACCAATAACATCAGTGCTCTCATATTCAGTTTTTGCATAGAAGGAAATGGAGGCAAAGGAGTTAATTACCTGTCTATCTAGAAAGTGAAATGTCTAATTACCTGTCCATCTAGAAAGTGAAATGTCTAACAAGTTGAGATCTGAACTCAAATTGCCCGGCTGTGGAGCTCACACAGTGCAGGGCTGGGTGGGATTGGTTGTTGGTTAGCACCCTATTGGGGTAGTGAGGACATAGTAGACAGTTCATCTATTAGGGCAGAATTACTTTTACTTGTTCTTATAGTGTTCATTTTGTCTTTGCTCTTCAATGGATAGATTTTCATGAACAATCAGAATGCATTTTTTCTGAGTTTGCATTTTTATTCCGAGAGCAACCTTAAAATGGCATCAATACTTCAGTTTATGCATATGGAAAATAACCTGGACTGGAGTGTCTACATTGAATCAAAGTTATCTGCTTGACAAAAGGAAACCAAATTCTGGTCTGATTCCTTAACTCAGGTTTCAAATTTCAGGAAAGCACTGACCCTTTCTCTGCCCGTTTAAGATAGTGGATTCAAGGAAATTTCACAGGTACCACACAAAACAATATAGGCTTAAGTTTATTTCATGGTTCAGAATTAAGGATGTTTCTTCACTTTGTTGATGAAAGTGAACATTCAGTTCAGAACCTGATTTGATGACTAATATAGGTTGGCAAGTGGCAATAGTACAAAAGTCATCTTTGTGTACTTCATTCTCCCGAGTCAAGTAAATTTCCTTACTAGACATCTAGTAAGGAAATGGTCACATTTTTTGTATGAGCCCAAAAGTTCTCAGGAGCTCATATGGTTTAAAAGGATACTCATTAAAAAAACAATTTAGCAAATGCTATACATTCTTGGAGTCTACAGCCAATAGCCACTAAACAGCCCTGGCAAACAGAAGTTCTTGTGAACCCAAGGCCGGACCTCACCTGGGCCCCATGGGAAGTGCTGGGCGGCTTGGGTAAGAGGTGCAGTATCTCCTCTGAATGCACGGTCCATGGCAGCAGGCACCACCATATTTACCAGATGGAAGAGTTCCTCCACCAAGCCTGCTCTTCCCCAGGCCTCCTTCACTGCTCTATCCAAGCATCCCCACCGCTCTCTGGACAGCGGGGTCCTCCTCGGGCGCCCAGTGAGGTCACCACAGCTCTCACTCTCTGCATCTTCTTTTCACCCCTGCCAGATTGGACCCTCCTCGCCCAGGCTGTCTTCAGACTCCCAGCATATGCTTGCTGATCAGTATATCATTGTAATCAGTCAGTCAGTACTTGTTCAATGATTGAACAAACGGGCGATGCAGGCAGATGGTCACCGGAGATGAGATGATTGTGGTGCCTCCTGATTCACACAGTGAATAAAACTTTGTATGTATAGGAAAGGAACAGTTAGATGTGTGTGTGTGTGTGTGTGTGTGTGTGTGTGTGCTTGTGTGTGTGCATGCACATGCACGTGCATGTGGGAGTGCTCTCTCTACAACAATGTATGTGGGTAGACAGGGAGAGGATGTGGGGAAATAGAACCCTATTGCACTGCTGGTGGGATTGGAAGCTTTACAACCACTCTGGACAGCAGTCTGGAGCCTCCTCAAAAAATTAAATATATACTTTCCCTGCAACCCAGCCATACTACTCCTGGGCATGTACCCAGATCATCATGACTCAGGATACCATAAAAACACTTGCACATCCATGTTCACGGCTGTACTATTCACAATAGCTAAGGTTTTGAAACAGCCCAGATGTCCTACATAGATGAGTGGATCCAAAAGATATGGTTACCTAGACATAGTGGAATTTTATACCACCATTAGAAAGAATAACAGTATGTCATCTGCAGGGAAATGGATGGACCTAGAACAAATCATGTTAAGTGAGGTAAGCCAAGCTCAAAAAAAACAAACAGCACATGCTTTCTCTCACCTGCAGACGTATCTCCTTAGCTCCTTTGCCTATTTAGTGATTGATTTATTAGTGGTGGGAGGGGTTAGTTTCTTGACCATTTTGTTTATTTTGGATATTAGGCCTTTGCCTGATGTATTATTGGTAAATATCTTCTCCTAGTCTTTTGTCTGTCTTTCTAGTTTGGTAACTTTCTAATTCTGCTTGGCAGAAACTTTTAGTTTAACATAAAATAAAATATATAATTAAGCCAGGCACCTGTGGCTCAGGCCTGTAATCCTAGCTACTCAGGGGCTGAGATCTGAGGATCCAGGTTCAAATCCAGCCCGGGCAGGAAAATCTGAGACTCTTATCTCCATAAACCACTAGAAAACTAAAAGTGGTGCTGTGGCTCAAGCGGTAGAGCACTTGCCTTGAGCTGAAGAGCACAGAAACAGCGAGCACCCAAGCCCAGAGTTCAAGCCCCATGTCGGACGCCCCCAAAAAATTTTAATTAAATGGAATCAGTTTAAAAAAACTAAAGGAAGTAGAATGACTTTAAAAATATTGACATTGTGACTTGTTACAACAATGACATTTGGGTCTTGTGAATCCCTCTCTACAGACTCAACATCCAGGTTTCCCAAGTTGAACCGAAAGTTGGGCAGTCTTCACGGCTTGCACAGGCCTGCCTGCCTTCTCCCCAGCCATCGGTCTGAGAACGGGTCACAGTGATGTGGATGGACCATCTTTCTCCAGCTCTGGGCTCCAGAAACTCACTCCCAATTTGTTTGGGGGACACAACTTTAAAGCCCCAACAATTGCAAAGATTAAGAAGAAACAACTCGGGATATGATGTCACATCTTATCAAGGTTTCCAGCCACAGATTAGGGAGTGTGCATAAGATTCAGAGCCGTAGAGTGTTGAACAAATCACTCCATATTGGCAACTGTTTTGTCCTCCAGTGAGTAAAGGTGATTTCAGTCTTACCTTATAGTAGGATTGGTAGAAGGAAAAAACTGTGAGGCTCAAGCAACAGTGTTACACCCCTTGCTTTTCACTAATCTCATCTAGTTCACAAAATAATTTATGTGTGGTGTGTGTATGTGTGGGTTTGGTAGGTGCGTGTAGTGTGGGTGTGGTAGGTGTCTATGGTAAGTGTATGTGGTGTGTGTGCGTGTGTGTGTGTGTGTGTGTGTGTGTGTGTGTGTGCTGGTACTAGAACTAAGTGCACTGTCCCTTAGTTTTTTCCACTCAATGGCAGCAGTCTAGCACTTGAGCTATAGCTCTATTTTAGACTTTTTGCTAGTTAACTGGAAACAAAGAGTCTCACTTACTTACTTGCTCCCCTAGAGCTTCAATTGTCAGAATTCAGACTCCAGAGTAGCTGGGATTACAGTCATGAGCCACCAATATTATTGTTTATTTTAATTTTAATTTTTTTATTTTTTATTGTACAAAGGGGTTACAATTACATGGGCAAGATAATGAGTACATTTCTTATCAAGCATTGTATCCTCCTCCTTTGTTTCCCCTTCCCGTCCCTTCCCATCCTCCCCCCGCCCCCCCAATCCAAAATTATTGTTTTTATGTCAGTACTTGCATCTCATTTATTTATTTTTTAAATTTTATTTTATTATAAAGATACTGTACAGAGGGGTTACAGCAACATGAGTAAGGTAATAAGTCCATTTCTTGTTGAACATTGTTACCCCCTCCTTTGTTTTTTTCCTACCATCCCTTACCTCCCTACCTCCCCACATCTCCTTAGAGTTAGGGCAGTTGAGTAACAGTTTAGCTAACTTGTCTTAGGTCTATGGCTAGCAAGGTTGGAATAAATGGGGCTTTAGGCCTGGATGGAGGGCAGCGAAGCCCTGGTGGATTCTTCCACCACTGCCTTCTCTAGTAGCTCGGTGGGTGTCTCAGGCCTCTGAAAACAGCCACTGTCTTCCTATAGCAGATCTGAAAACATCCACTGTCTTCCTATAGAAGATCTGAAAATGTCCACTGTCTTCCTATAAAAGATCTGAAAATGTCCACTGTCTTCCTATAAGAGATCTGAAAGTGTCCACTGTCTTCCTATAGCAGATCTGAAAGCAACCACAATCTTCCTATAGCAGATCTGAAAATGGCCACTGTCTTCCTATAGCAAATCTGAAAACGTCCACTGCCTTCCTATAGGAGATCTGAAAATGTCCACTGTCTCCTATAGCAGATTTGAAGGCAGCCACTGTCTTCCCATAGCAGATCTGAAAGCAACCACAGTCCTATAGCAGATCTGAAAGCAGCCACTGTCTTCCTATAGCACATGTGAAAGCGTCCACTGTTTTCCTATAGCAGCTTGCCTGAATACTTCTAGTGAGTTTCCCCACATCCTGATTTTACTTTTTCTTTTTCAGCAAACCTCCCTGCTGTCAATCCCTCCCTGTGGCCTCCTCAGCTGGAGGCCCCGCCTGGGGCCAGGCCTGGGCACACCCGGCCTGTCCCACCCCTTCTCCACTCCACTGTGAGGTGTCTCTGAAGCCCCAGGTTTCTCCCTTTGCTTTTAGACCTCACAAGGAGGAGTAACGGAGGTCGGGGCCAGAACTCAGTGTCCAGAAGAGACGGCAAGAGGGACTTGGATGTGTACTGACTCCCCTCCGGCTCCTTCCTTGCAGGGACTGTGGGCCACCAAAGAAAACCCACGAAAATGAGGAGCTGCTGGTAAGACTATGACTTTGGAGACTTGCTGGGGGGCTGAGTTAGGGTCTCTTTGAATCAAGGTCTGTGAGAGGAGGAGAGAGGGAGAAATGAAGAAGGATGGGTGTAAGGCAGGAGAGCAAGCATGTTCCAAGTAGAAAATGAGAGTCAGAAAGGAGAGAGGAGAGGCCACCATGAGAGAGACAGAAAATCAAAGATAAAAGACAACACAGCAACAGCCAGTGTGTGGGATACTGTAGCAACAGAGGCTACAGGAGCCACAGCCAGGTCTCATTCACCAATCTCTGAGTGCAAATGAAGAGCTCTGCCCTGGGCTCTCGTCACCGGCGTGAATGAGCTAACCAGGCACACACATGGGGAAGTGGTCCTCTCAAGGGATTTTGCTGCAATGATTTTTCTCCATCTTCTTTAGGAAAATTCCAGTTTTCTTCTTGGTATGCAGCTTCCTGGGACCTGGGGCCTCGGCAGCTTCCAAGCGCCGCCCAAGTAAGAGACACAGTTTCTGTGTTTTGAAAACTCACTTATCACCAGAAACAACTGGAGCTGTGGTGAAGCAGGGGTGCGGCGGGAAGGCTGCGTGCCCCTGGTCCTTCCTACCTTTCCTCCACTCGCACTCGTGCGTTGGGCCACAGAGACATGCTGGTGGCTGAGCGTGGAAAAAGAAGTCCTGACGGTGGTCACAGTTAGCAGGAAGGGCAACCAAGGCAGCACCTGGCCCATCAGGGACTAGCAGGTGGAGGGGATGCATGCATGGGTGGATGAGGAGGGGGAGGTAGATGGGTTGGGGAGAGGTGGGGTGGGAAGAAGAGGTTTGGTGTACTCTGACTGCTAGGCCAAACTCTGCCTGGAAAGAGCATTTCTGGGGTCAGGTGGATCTCATTAAGGCTTCAGGTTGGATGTTACAAGCACTTTTTGATGTTGGTGAGAAAAAAAAAAAAAAACCTCTCTTACTCTGAAGCTCAAGACACAGAGCTGCCTTGCTGAGTTCTAGGCTTAGCCCACTCATGATTATTTCCTTCCTACTACTGTTCCCACTTCCAGGGCATTAGCAATAATCCACTCGAAACAAATATACTGAATTAAATATACTTTGTGTATTTATGCATGATTATCCAACATCAGAACTCTGCCACACCTTCAGGCTTCACTCGATTTGACATTTTCCAAAATCTCATTGAACTGGCCTGAAGCTAACAGCACTCTCGTTGAAATTCCAACCATGATATTTAAGGCATATTTTCCAACCCAAACCACCAGAAAATTTCCAAACAAGCCTGTGCTCCCAGGCCATTCAGGACATGGAGGCTGTGGCTCCAAAAGGAACAAATTTCTAACCCTGCCCTCAAAGGAACATCTCTCAGAACAGACTAATAAGCGACCTTGCTCTTGCATGCCCCAGTCCGCATTGAAGATGGAGTTGTGATCTTGAGATGCAGAGTCAGAGCGCTTACAAGTAGCTGCTGTTGTTACTGTTCACCTGCTCAACAGTAGTGGCTGAGGGAGGCTGATACGCCCTCTCTTTTCAGGATTCCCAATCAACTCAATCTCCAATGGAGAGAATGAACTCTGTCCCAAGATTAGGGTTGGCCAAGATGACTTGCCAGGCAAGTAGCAACCTATCTTTTTGGAAATGGTTTCCTTCCAGACTGGCTGTGTTCTTTGGTTTGGGAAAGTTGGGGCAAGGAATAAGGCCGGTATCGTTTCTGACTTTCGTTTTGTGTTCCCTTTCTGTAGGATTTGATCTGATTTCTCAGTTCCAGGTGGACAAAGCGGCTTCCAGAAGAGCTGTCCAGAGGGTGATGGGGTCGACGGCCTTACAAGTGGCCTACAAGCTGGGAAATAATGTGGACTTTAGGGTCCCAACCAGGTATTATATAAAGGAATAGCTTGTCTAATTACCTTCCTCAAATGTGTTTTAAGTTTTGGTGGCAGGTAGGTAATGCTAGATTTACACTTCTTGGATCACGGTTCTGTTTAATGATGAAGGAATTTGCTCATTTATCAATGTGTAATGCTTGAGTATTGCTCTTCATGTTCTCAGTGTAGACTTTTCATTGCAGGAAAAAAAAAAAAGCCCATCACCAAGACTGTTATTCATTGATTCAGGACATGTTCTTCTTTCCTTGCTTTCTGTTTCTTTTAAGCATAATTTGTCTGGTTTGGGCTGAAAGGGCCCTGTGTGGAAAGTGCCACATTGAGGCGTGCTTTCCGCAGGAGCCGCAGTGTGGTTAGGAAGCACACAAGGGCGCTGTTCAGTGCCCCAGTGCTGAAACAGAAGCGTGTGTCCAGGGCTCTGCTCCTGGCAGGCTCCAGACAAGAAGACTGAAATGATGTTAGTGTTAATACTAAGGGTGTGTGCATGTGGGAATAAATCTTCTACTTCATTGGCATGCTTTTCTGAAACTAAGCTTCAAGCTCTTTAAATGATATTTAATTGAGGTCCATGAGTATCTGGGTAAATGTTGAGTTGTACCATTGTTAGAAAAGTATTTCAGTAACTTAATTTTCCTGGTATGAACATACTTTATTATACAGATGTGAATATTATAATTATACATTTAATTCATTTCAAAAATGAATTTATCTTCCTTTAAAAGATGAATAAGGCTAGGCACCAGAGACTCAAGCCTGTAACCCTCGCTACTCAGTAAGTTGAGATCTGAAGATCAAGGTTCAAAGCCAGATGGGGTAGGAAAGTCTGTGAGACACAGGCAGTGAGTTCTAACCCCAGCACAGGCATAAAAAAGATAAATAAGAAAATTAGGTACTCTGTGAAAATTGTAATATCATAGATAATTTATAGACTCAGCTCCTTTTAAATCATATATACTATTTGGCTTACTGGTAGATCTGAAGAACATTTTTATAAGAATAGAATTGAAAAAGACAGTGGGTTAACATTTCTACAAATGAGATTTGTGAGACTTTTAAATAGTTTTAGGTCTATAGAAATGCACATAGATTTTATTAATATAGGCAATAAAATGTATTTTCTTTTCTAGTCTAGTTTGAAAGATGATTACCCTGAGATATATATATTTATATCTATCTATCTATCTATATATATCTATATATATATATATGTGTGTGTGTGTGTGTGTGTGTGTACATATATAACATCCTAATAGTCATATATATGACTATTATATATATATTATTTTAATATGTGTGCAGAGGAAGATACACATAGATACCTTTTGTTTAACAATATATTATGAATGAACTAGTCCTTTAGAAACTCATTCCACTTTCCATTATTTTTAGTTGACATATACCAAGTCAAAGATAATTTGAAAGATGCCTTCCTTCCAAAATCAACTCTTTGCTGGGAAGGAAAGCTTCAATGAACTTAACTTTAGGATGTCTTCGCTCAAGAGACACTTGAGCATGTTACTATGACTTTCTGAGTCAAAACAAATATATTGTTTTAATGAATGAATTTAATTCTAAAGCTTTTCTCACTATACCCATAGACAACTAAGTAGGTAACATACATCAATGTTTTAAGACTATAAAATAATACTTGAGGAAGAGATGAAAAAACGTTCATATTTATTTTTTATTTACATGCCTCAATAATAACTAACTTACCAGAGAGAGAGGGGGAGGGAGGGAGAGAGAGAGAGACAGAAAGAGAGAGAGAAGAGGGTGAGGGAAGGAGAGGAAGAGTGTGTAGCTGGTTGCTGTTGACTCATACCTGTGACCCTAGCTACTCAGGAGGCTGAGATCTGAAGATTGTGGTTTGAAGCCAGCCTGGGCAAGGAAGTCGAGAAACTCTTGTCTCCAATTAACCAGCAAGAACTCAAAGTGGAGCTGTGGCTCATGTGGCAGTACTCCAGCCTTGAACATGAAAGCTCAGGGACCACATCCATGCTTGAGTTAAAACCCCAAGACCAGCACCAATAATAAAATAAAATAAAAATCACCATTCACTGAGATAGTTATTCCTAGGTCTTCACAAGAAGGGAGCTATAGAAGAAGAGTTTGCCTTGAAGGAAGATTATTTGGAATGCTGAGTCCTAGCTCACTATTGTTTACAGAAATGCTCAATTTTATTATCTAGCAAACAAAATTCATTGATACCTAGTTTACCAACCATATCTTCTTTGTTTAGGAATTTTTCTAAGCTTAGAGGAAGGAAGGTAAAAAGTTATCATTTCAGTCCTTGCATTTTTACATTTCTGAGTTTCAAAGTTCAGTGTTCTTAAATAATAAATAAATAAATGTAATAAGCAGTCAAATTAAGGGAAGCAGCAATGACACAGTGTTGGTCAGTGGCATAAAGTGCAAGTGTGCTGGAGCAGATAAGAACTTGCCATCTTCCACTTGTCAAATACCCGGTGACTAGTAGCCAGCGGCTAGGTAAAGCTCAGACTTCCCTGGGAAAGGTGAACATTCCCAGCCTTAAGAAGATTGTGAGTAAAGTCTGCACAGTTGCAAATGATAACTCAAATGCTTAGGTAGGATGAGAATATAATTGTAGGGGAGAATACCAGGTAAAAGGAAAATAATCTTAATATGTTACACACAATTAAAAACATTCAAAGCTACTTGAACTAAAAAGTTTCAACCAGTGGGGCTAATATGGACTCCAAGTGATTTCTTTGCTCATTGTGAAAGAAATATTGCCAAGAACTTTGCAAGAATGTTGTTTTTGGCTGGGCGAAAATTGCTGAACAGTAGCTCTTTGGGTAGCATAAATAGTAATATTGTTTGGATTTTATGGCAGTTGGGAAAGAGAGGGTTTTTTAAATGTGTATTTTAAGATAGAGCATTAAGGAACATTGAATGATTTAATTTCTGGGCAGGTCCTATGAACAGGCAAGCACAAATAATGCATAGTTTTCTATACTGTCCTTTCTCAGGTCTAGAATCTAAAAAAGCATAAAAGATGGTAAATATATATGAATACAGGACAAGACTCACATTGACTACTTTCACATGTTACGCAGGCATTTATATCCCCATGGACTGCCTGAAGAATACTCCTTTTTAACAACATTCCGGATGAATGGGAGCACACTTGGAAAGAACTGGAATATCTGGCAGATCCAGGACCCTGAGGGGAGGGAGCAAGTTGGAGTGAAGATCAATGGTCAGACAAAATCTGTTGTGTTCTCATACAAGGGACTGGACGGAAGCCTTCAGACAGCAGGCTTTTCAGGCTTGCCTTCCTTGTTTGATGCCCAGTGGCACAAGGTCATGATTGGAGTGGAAAGGACCAGTGCCACTCTGTTTGTAGACTGTGTCAGGATCGAATCATTACCCATAAAACCAAGAGGCCAGGTGGATGTGGATGGCTTTGCTGTGCTGGGGAAACTCGCAGACCACCCCCAGGAATCTGTTCCAGTAAGTACAAGACCATGTGATGGTAGACAAATCCAGTGAGCACAGGTCCATGTGAAGGCAGACCAAATCCAATGAGCACACGTCCATGCGATGGCAGACCAAATCCAGTGAGCACAGGTCCATGTGATGGTAGACAAATTCGGTGAGCACAGGTCCATGTGATGGTAGACAAATCCAGTGAGTACAGATCCATGTCATGGAAGACAAATCCAGTGAGTACAGATCCATGTCATGGAAGACAAATCCAGTGAGTACAGATCCATGTGATGGTAGACAAATTCGGTGAGCACAGGTCCATGTGATGGTAGACAAATCCAGTGAGTACAGATCCATGTCATGGAAGACAAATCCAGTGAGTACAGATCCATGTCATGGAAGACAAATCCAGTGAGTACAGATCCATGTGATGACAGACCAAATCCAGTGAGTACAGACCCATGTCATGGAAGACAAATCCAGTGAGTACAGATCCATGTGATGGTAGACAAATCCAGTGAGTACAGAACCATGTCATGGCAGACAAATCCAGTGAGCACAGGTCCATGTGATGACAGACCAAATCCAGTGAGTTCAGATCCATGTGATGAGAGACCAAATCCAGTGAGTACAGATCCATAAGATGACAGACCAAATCCAGTGATTACAGATCTATGTGATGACAGACCAAATTTAGTGAGTACAAGTCCATGTGATGACAGACCAAATCCAGTGAGTACAGATCCATATGAGACAGATCAAATCCAGTGAGTACAGATCCATGTAATGGTAGACAAATCCAGTGAGTACAGATCGATAAGATGGTAGACAAATCTAGTGAGTACAGATCCTGTGATGGTAGACAAATCCAGTGTGTTCAGATCCATGTGATGACAGACCAGATCCAATGAGTACAGATCCATGTGATGTTAGACCAAATCCACTGAGTACAGATCCATGTAATGGTAGACATATCCAGTGAGTACAGGTCCACGTGATGGTAGACAAATCGAGTGAGTACAGATCTATGTGATAGTAGACAAAATTCAGTGAGTACAAGTCCATGTGATAGTAGACCAAATCTAATGAGTACAAAGTGTACACAAGGCCAAATCCAGTGAGTACAAGTCAATGCAGAACTAGTCATGTAAAAACAAAGTGTTGGTGATAAAGTTGTTTAAGTGTGCTGTCGGATGGGCACTACCCAGGTTGTTACTTCAGGAATTAAGTGTTGGTATCCTATAGGAAAGGTCAGATATGGACAGACATCAGGTTTTTCATGCTTACTTGCTCAGTTTTCCTCCAGATATTGGAGAAACATCTTAGGTTGAAAAGGATGGATTTTGCTAGAATATATCAAGTTTTATTTAATAGTTTATAAAAGGTTTTCTTTTTCCTATAATTGTTTACAAAGTGTCTGGTGTGTGTGTGTGTGTGTGTGTATGTGTGTGTGTGTGTGTGTGTGTGTGCCAGTCTTGGGGCTTGAACTCAGGGCCAGGGTACTGTCCCTAGCCTTTTTGCTCAAGGCTAGCTCACTATTACGTGAGCCACAGCTCCACTTCCAGTAGTTAATTGGAGATAAGAGTACCATGGTCTTTCCTACTTGGCATGGCTTTAAACCATGATCCTCAGATCTCAGCCTCCTGAATAGCTAGGATTACAAGTGTGAGGCATCAGCACCCAGCAAGCAAGTATCTGTTTTCTGGAATGTTCCTTTAGTGCTTGGCTTGTATTGCAACTTCAGAAATGTTGGCCAAATTAAATTATTTGTCACCTTTTTTTTGCCAGTGGTATTCAAGGAAAAAAATGACTCCAGGGATGAAAATGAGAAATGCATAAAGATTAGCATTTTAGCTGTGTAAGGAAAGGGACTTTAACCAAAGCACTCTGACACCCTTCCTTCAACATAATTAGCATGTAAATTGGAATTCATATTGCATGCCAAAAGGTCTTGTGCAATGGGTCATTAGTGCACCAGTGGTGTCTATGGGCCCAGGTGTGCTCCTGAGCCCTTGGTCTGGAGGTCTACCTGACTGCATCTCATTTCCCATCATTTAGTGCCACAGGGGACATTTTATATATCTAAACAGGGGTGCCAATTTTTACAGAGAAGATCATATTTCTGGAAGAAAACAGCTTGATGAAGTACTTCACTTTTGCAAAATTAACTTCAGCAAACTATATCTAAATAAAAGATATGGTTTTCTGTTTAACTAGATAATTAATGCTTCTCAGAGCAATTCAGGTCTGAATCATTTTCAGAACGCTGAGCTCACCCACGCACAATGCATGCCTGCTGAGAGATGTCAAGGACTTGGTGAACAAAACTGGGTGATTTTTTTTAACCTTGAGAGTAAATATGTCTCTCTCTTTTTAATGGTTATTTTTCCTTTTATTTTATTTTTATTTATTTATTTTTCTGTTTATGTGGTGCTGAGGAATGGAACCTAGGGCCTCATGCATGCTAGGCAAGCACTCTACCACTGAACCACCTTCCCATCCCCTGAGCATCTCTACCTATCCTGACAAAATTCTATTCTAGTCATTGAGGCAAGAGGAAAAAGAAATACAATTGTCTTTGCTATGTGTTACTTTTATATACTTGAATGTGAATTTTTAGAGGAACACTAGTAACACTAGTAATTTTGCTTCTGGATATATTTCTACAACAAGCATAGAAAATAGGGGAAGGTATGAAATCTTGCAGAAGTGTTTTAGTCTAGCTCTGAAGTTTTCTAGCAGGCAGTACAAACAAGCTTGCACATGTTAATTTCTATTTCTTGTTCTATATTCACATATATTTCATATTTTTATTGTACTAGATTTTGTACTCTGGGCCAAGGATGCTTGCTAGGCTGGTGCTTTGATGTTGAGCCATGCTTCCAATGCAGATATTTTTGGTCAGCCATGGGGCTTAAACTCAGGGGGCCTGGGTGCTATCCCAGAGCTTTTGTGCTCAAGGCTGGCACTCCACCACATTGAGCTAAAACCCCACTTCTAGTTTTCTGGTGGCTAGGTGGAGATGGCCTTTCCTGCCTGGGCTGGCTTCAAATCACGATTCTCAGACCTCAGCCTCCTGAGTAGCTAGGATGACAGGTGTGAGCCACTGAAACCTGGCAGCTAGCACAGTTTCTTGATGACTACTTTTAGGAAAATTTTTCTGCTTCCTGTTCAAGTATGTCTTTGGCATACCTGTCATTGCTGGGACCCTAGACCTAGGCTCTTACATGCAACTATGGATTGAAAAGGGGCTTTTGAACTCTTCTGCTCAAACTGTGGCCCTCGCTGTCTCAGCCTCCCAAACAGGTAGGGTTTACAGGCCTGATTCACTGGTGCTAGGAGTTATTTTCTGTCCATCTTTCATCAAAGTACTCAATCACCAAATGCTTTGGTTGCCAGTTTGAAAGGAGGACTCACTGTGGAGACCTTGTGTATTTTTGGAGATCAGGCAGGGTTGTAGAAACACGTTCTGAGTTGTAGTGTCAGAAATTTTGGAAGCACAGCTCTGCTATGAGATCTGTGGCCAGAGAGTTAATCTCTTGATCTCACTTTACCCATCTGTGAGCTTTGTCAGATGACATAGTTAATAGCCAGTAAGGAAAACATTATTCCATTCTATTTTTATCTTCCTTATAAATTGCTCTGCAATTTAAAATAAAATCCCCCTCAAGTAAACCAAATTACTCTCATAGAAAGTGTTTGGCTGAAACTTCTTCTTCTTTTTTTTTTTTTTTTGGTCGGTCATGGGGCTTGAACTCTGGGCCCAGGCACTGTCCCTCAGCTCTTCAGCTCAAGGCAAGCACTCTACCACTTGAGTCATGCGCCACTTCCAGTTTTCTAGTGGTTTATTGGAGATAAGAATCTCACGGACTTTCCTGCTTGGGCTGGCTTTGAACTGCGATCCTCAGATCTCAGGCTCTTGAGTAGCTAGGATTACAGGTGTGAGCCACTGGTGCCCAGCTTGGCCGAAGCTCCTTCTTACTGTAAGAAGCTGTGTAGTTTTTTGTTTGTTTGTTTTGGGCTGTGAAGCTTGAACTCTGGGCCTGGGTACTGCCCCTCAGCTCTTCAGCTCAAGGCAATGCTTTATTACTTGAGCCCCAGCGCTACTTCTGGTTTTCTGGTGGTTTATTGGAGATAAGAGTCTCATGGACTTTCCTGCTTGGGCTGGCTTTGAACTGCGATCCTCATATCTCAGCCTCCTGAGTAGCTAGGATTACAGGCATGAACTACTGATGCCCGGCAGCTATGTACCTTTTTGAGCAGCATATCTGAATCTCCCGACTCAGCCATCCCCACCATGGATGCCTGGAGCAGAGGATTTATAGATAAGTTCTATCTTAAAATTAGTTTCTCTTGACAGGTGCCAGTGGCTCATGCCTGTAGGTTCAGCTACCCTAGCTGTTCAAAGCACACAGATCCTCAGAACTCTCTCCAGTTAACTAGCAAAATGACAGGCTGGAGGTGTGACTCAAGCAGTAGAGCACTAGTCCTGAGCAAAAAAGCTGAGCCAAGGTTTGGTGGGGTTGGGAGAACCAAAGAATAATGGAGCAAGAGGAAAAGTCGAGGCCAGCCAGCACTGTGAGGGAAGGACTGGCAATAAGAGGAGTGTGAGGGCACCGCCTCCTGTTCGCCTCATGGTGAAGAGAAACCTGTCCTGCCCTTACTGGTAGAACGGAAGACATCACCTTTGTTGTCTTCAATTGCAGTCATCCATCTTGTAGCTTAAACTGTGGATATTCTGTAGCAGTAGAAAAATCAATGAAAATCACTATTAGTTGAGAGAAGTCATGCTCCGATTAGAGATGGGATTTCCTAATCAGACATTTCATGATGACAGCAGATGTGCTGGCCAAGATCTGGGGGGCTGATGTGAATTGTCTTGGCAACAAAACTTCTCCACGAAGGGAGGCCACTGAGGCAGGGGTGTACCTCAGAGAAAGTCCTGAGTTCAACCCCCACACTGCTAAAAACAAACGCCTCATGTTTGTGTATGTCTCTAAGTTTTTTTCTTTTCTTCTTTCTCCTTGTCAATGAGGCTCTTACTTAGATGTAGACTCAGCAATTCTTCCCTTGCTCTGTTTCTTTCCTGTTGCACACGCACGCACCACACACACACACACACACACACACACACACACACTGCTAAAACTGGAAGAAGGTATCAGGACACATTTAAAATTTGTGTCTAGCAATAATACGATCTGCAAAACCCAACCATTTTAACTCTTTCCTCCGCTGGGACGCCTCTTCCCTTTAGCCCTTTCAGGCCGCTTGGTAGATGCTTGCTTGCTTGCTTGCTTTATTACATTTTTGGTGCCAATGTTGGGACTTAGGGCCTCCTGTGTGCATTTCCTTGGCTTTTTCTGCTCAAGCCTGGCATTCTGCCCGTTGAGCCACACTTCCCTTCTGGCTTTTTTCTGAATGGAGATCAGAGCTGGCTGCTTCAAACAGCCAGCCCAGACCCCAGCCT